TTACCGAAAAAAGTCTTTCTGAATTCCAGAATATAGAGAAAAGGTTTTCTCAAGCCTCGATTACAGAGAAAGGGCTTTCTTCAGGCTAAACTACAGAGAAAAGGCTTTCTCAATGCTAGATTACAGAGAAAAGGCTTTCTTAATGCTAGATTACAGCGATAAGGTTTTCTTAAGGTAGATTTCAGAGAATAGGCTTTCTCAAGTCTAGTTTATATAGTAAAGGCTTTCTCATACCTAGATTACAGAGAATTGACTTTTTCAGGTTAGATCATAGAGAAAAGGCTTTCTCATGGCTAGATTACAGAGAAAATGCTTTCTCAATGCTAAATAACATCAAAAAAGCAGCTTTCTCAAGGCTAGATAAAAAACTAATGGATTTCACAAGGCTAAATTACAAAGAAAAGGCTTTCTCAAGGCTAGATTACAGAGAAAAAGGTTTCCTCAATGCTAGATAACAGAGAAAATGCTTTCTCAAAGCTAAATAACATCAAAAAAGCAGCTTTCTCAAGGCTAGATAAAAAAACTAATGGATTTCACAAGGCTAAATTACAAAGAAAAGGCTTTCTCAAGGCTAGATTACAGAGAAAAGGCTTTCTCAAGGCTAGATTACAGAGAAAAAGGTTTCCTCAATGCTAGAATACAGAGAAAATGCTTTCTCAAGGCTAAATTACAGAGAAAAGACTTTCTCAAGGCTAGATTACTGAGAAAAGCTTTCCCACGGCTAGATTACAGAGAAAAGGTTTTCTCCAGGCTAGATTACAGAGAAAAGGTTTTCTCAAGCCTAGAGTACCGAAAAAAGTCTTTTTCAACGCTAGATTACAGAGAAGAGGCTTTCTCAAGGTAGGGTGCAAAGAAAAGGCTTTCTGAAGGCTAGATTACAGAGAAAAGGTTTTCTCCAGCCTAGATTACCGAAAAAATGTATTTTTCAACGCTAGATTACAGAGGAAAGGCTTTCTCAATGCTAGATTACAGAGAAAAGGCTTTCTCAAGCTAGATTACAGAGAAAAGGATTTCTCAAGGTAGAGTACAGAGAAAAGGTTTGCTGAAGCCAAGATTACAGAAAAAAGGCTTTCGCAAGTGTAGATTACAGAGAAAAGGCTTTCTGAAGGCTAGATTACAGAGAAAAGGCCTTCTTAAAGGTGAACGAAATGCACTTTTGTTTTTGTAAATTTCTTTATTTATGACGTTCCCTGGTTATTAAATTTAATATATTTATAACTTTCAAAGGTTATATGTGTGTCGTTTCTCTCGAAATGTTGAAATAATAAATGTTCGGTTGAAATCGCATCAAAGAATCTTGCCCGAGTTATCGTCCGTGAATTCGAAACCGCTGTGACGTCATAAGTGACAATCGCCGATCCAACGAAACTTGACTATGGCGCACGTATATAACTCCGATTGTAGCGACAGTGACGATATCCCAGAGGTTTCATTCACACTATGTATCCATCCATATATGTATGAACCTGAGACATCGAACAATGACGATCATATCCACTCAGATTCGTCAGATTGTTCCGAGGAACTGCATATAAGAGGTGACGAGGATGACGAAGATAGCATGGCTTCCGATCAACCTGTCGGAGAATGGTTAGTTTTCATTGCAACTACACGACTATATTGTTGTTCAGATTTCGATAATTGTATGTCATCTATAAACTGTATTCAATTTTTCAAAAATTTTTCTATCGTCAAAACAAAAGCGGAAAAAAATACGTATTTGTTTACTGCTTTATCCGCCGGTAAGCAAGGCATTCTTCCGTTTATTGTTCATATACCAACAGGTCTACTGATCATTAACATTGTCATGAAATCAATATGTTTATGAAATCATTTGTTTTTCTTCATTAGTTTGTATTGATATAATTTTTCAAACAGTTTACGTTCTCCTGTTGTGTACATTTTCATTCACTTTGACTCTTCTGTTTGTACATTTTACCTCTTTCCTGCAAGTATTTTAGTACGTGAACGATGTACTTTCCAGCAGAAACAACATGACACATGCTCATTATTTTACGATTATATTTATTAATCAGAACATTATAGTACCTCAAATGCATTATGATAAATAAAAAGTCAATGGATGGCTGCATAATAACTTTTTACTCTATGTACAATTTGTTCTTTAATAACATTTTCAAGATATCTTACAATATATTACACTATAAATCTATACATTTCGTTTCAGGTGTTCCTGTAACATGTGTTCCCATATGTCCACTGAGGACGAAAGAAAATGCTGTCAGACATGAGCATATTAGAAGAAAAGTTGACCGACATAGGCTGTATCACCCAACATGAAGGGTTTATTGCGAATTGTCTAAACATGCATGTCCTGGAAACATCCTATTATGAATATGCTGAAACACACGGCCCAGGAAGACAAGAAGACATTCACAGGTATATAATGTAAATGACAATTTAAATGAACATCTTTGTCTCACAGATTATATACAACATTGGTACCCTCTATTACTAATCAAACCCCTACATTGCATACCTAACTAAATAATTAATTCCTATATTTCATTAATGGATTAGCAATAAATTTTGACCACAGTCCATTTTGTAGCACTTAAATTACACTGCAAATACTTGTATATATGCCTACATGTACCAGTGTATTCAAACTTAAGAAATTTGATAACAATTTTTGTCACTTCAGGAAGTATCGGCGTGTAGCATATCGTCGCTTCATTAGGTGGACATGGAAAGTTCTAGGGAAAAAATCGACAGGTCATACCATCATGTGCTGTGACTGCCATACGGAAACAATTTCCATCACAACAATATACTGGTTTCAAGTACCCTCGTTTCTGACATAGCTCGTAAATCTTTGACAATTGTTATGGATGATAACATCTCTGTCAAAATTCCCCATGGCACTGCGGAGTTGACTTGCAATGGAAGGAGGGGGAGCATCCATTTCCTCAAAAAGAGCTGCTTCAGCCTGTTGGATGGTTGTGAATTGTAGCCTTCTGACTACAACCTCCTCCATCAACTCTTTGATGTAATTTGTTGACAAGTTGACATTAACAGTTAAAGGCAGAACAAGAACAATAAAAACTTGAATGGTCACAGTCATAATGAAGTGTCTTGTTATTGCCATCTAATTTGTTATACCAGGTAGTTATGTTGGTATGTTATAAAATACCAGTAAGTTTCTCTAAACATTGTTTAGATTTATCTAAAATAAAACGGTGAAAAATGATTTACGTCAATAAAATGGATGATATTAATATACTTTTATATTTAAAATCTCTCATTAATTTTTTTGTTAAAATATCAATGCAGGTAAATAAAATAAACATACTGAAGTTCTGTTTGACTTTAATCTCCTTTGGGACTGCATCCCCTTTTCTTCCTTTTGGGAAAGCAATTCTGTATCTGGCAGTCCCATCCTCCAGAGTTGCTTGTGGTCTACAACTATTTGAGTTGAAATGAAGAGCTGCCAGGCAAAATAAGGTACCATATCTTGTGAATGTATTCATTATGGTACTGTATTTATCAGGTAATAAGCACACGCCTAGTAATAAGCCCATCCATGTCTTTTTCTTAGATTTCAAATTCACTGTCCTATACAAACTATATCCCTGCAATAAGCCCCCCCCCCCCCCCCCCCCCCCCCCCCCCCCCCCAATCTGTTGATCAAATATTAGACACTGGCCCCTAGGCTTATTACAGGATAAATACAGTATCATATCAACAGGAGTTTCCCACATAAAATCTTTTCCATTTCCCGGAATACTTTGCTTCCTGAAACGAAAGGGCAGAAGTAAAAATACTTAATGAGTAATATGAATAATTAGAAAAGAAGCATGTTATTTGAAAAGTATTACAAATTCTTCATATGACAATGGCAAATATCTTATTAACGCTGGACCACTTTCTTGAGATGTCCCCATGCTCACATGAATGGAAAAGATCTCCATGCCCCTCGTGAATATTAGTGACATGGTTCAGGATACTTGTCCATTTTTGTCGTACAAGTTCTGCATTCCCTCCACTGCTAGCAGCACACCAATAAGCATGGTTGCTTATGGATCTGGCCCATTCTCCAGCCATTTTGTACTTCTTGGACTTTCCAAGAACTTCTAGTTTCTTGTAGACACCTTTGTAAAATAAGAAATTCATTAGCAATTTAATAGTTATTAATTTTTATATATATTCTAGAGTCATGGATAGTAACTGACTAAAAATGTACGGAGCGGGGTGATGGGGGGGAGGGGGGGGGGCTTATTACCCAGCATGGGCTTATTGCTAATTCAGGTGAAATGAAAAAAAAACCCACCTATATATAGCTAGCAATTAATGCATGGAAACATACCCAAGTAAGTGTTTACCCTTTGCAACATGCCAAACATCAAACCAATGGTTTATGTCTGGATGGTCACTTTTCATCAGCTTTTTTACTTGGCAGTGTCTGTCAGTCACCAAATCAGATATTGGTATGTCCTTATCTTTTAAGAATTGGAAGCAGCGCTTCAGTCCTTCCAGTTACATTGCATATGAATTTTTCACTTCATTTGACTGTAATGTAATTAACATGGGTATTAATGAACTGAAAAATGATTTAAAACAGTTTTCTCCCTTTCCATAATATTGATTAATAAATGCATACATATAAAAAGTCTACATTTAATTACCTGGACAAGCTGAATATCCACCACTTTGGCAGTTTCTACATCCATGAGTGTGTAGGATCCGTATTTTGCAGTGTGTCCTGGGGAACTGCATCTGGCATCACCACCTAGTTTCAAGGAACTGCCACTGTTTTTGATGTCATTTAAATATACTGATTGCTGATGTTGCCAGCATGATAATGTGGATGGTACAATGTAGGTCCTCTGCAGTTTGTTGTATGCAGTTAGGCTAAGACCTAAAATTCCTGAATGGCTCATAAAGTTAAATGTTTTCACAGGACTGTTCCCACTAAAAAATATCCCACAGGCGATCACCAAATTTCCCCAGGGCAGTGAATTTGAAAATGGCTGGCTCCGTCATTTTCTGATAAATCCACAGACACATCTACTTGTTACACAAACACAAGTACCAACTGTTGTTTTGATGTGTTGCAAGTTTCTCTTGCTGCAGACAGCACATATGTCTAGCAGTTCAAAGAGACATTGTTCAAACACAACATACTTGTGCGCTTTGTCTGGATCTGTGTCCTCACTGTCCAATTCATGTGTTGTTGTGACATTGTCTTCCAAATCTGAATACTCCTCCAGATCTTCTAATGGACTCCATTCTGAATCATTGTCCTGATCTGGTAGAGAAATATCCATGTCACTCTCATCATCAGAATAATTTTCCCTATCTTTCTGGGTGGTGTTGTATCTGTGGCATTGAATGGATGTAGACACAGTCTGGCATATGGCCTGGACCCCACAAGATGTAACTGAAGTCTTCATTTCTGATATTTTTGTCTGTAGACTAACATGACGACATTTCTGGAGAAAAAAAGAAATATTAATCAATTGCTGTGAACTCTAAAATAATCTATATTGCCTGAACATTCCAATCTATTGATTCACATCTATTATTTGAATAGCCATGTAATTCATATGAAACTAATTTTATATGTTAATGATGTTATTAACACTTCTATTTCAGTAGTCTTTGATGGGCAATACATATTGAACCTACTTACACTATGAGATGGTCATATAATTTGAAAACATATAATGACCAAGAATTATAATATAGATGTACTTTTCTGTATTTTATCATAAATTTTATTGCATCACAATCCATTTTCAAGAGGAGATCTAGAAATACATGTCCGGTATATGTAAGTGCATGGCCTTCAAAAATATGCTGGGTGAAATTATATATACCGGATAGGGGGTAGGGGCTGGTATATGTGTACCCAAAAAGCATTCAGAGAATACCATAATAGTATATATTACATGTACATACTGTTAGGTTGTATGACGTCTGACAGCCAACATTGTATGTCTCTAGTGGATCATCCGGTCCTACACATTTATCTACAGTACTTCTGTGATCAGAAGTCTGTGTCTCCATGTGCACCTGATTTGGATGGTACTTGATTTGTTCAGACGTGTAATTTGTACTAATCTGCTGTTCATTTGTTACGTCTGCCAAAATCTACAAACAAAAAAAAAGAAAAAGGATAAACAACTAAACAAACAAGTGGAATGCATTGTATGTGCCAGTAATATCAGAAAGGCGGGAAGAGGGGGGGGGAGGAGCTTGTACAGTTCACTGTGGTTAGGCGTAAATTAGCTTATATTATAATTACATTGTATGTTGCTTGCAAGTACAGTACCTTATTATTTTAAAATATTACGTAATACTACCATTGTTAATACAACTGATGCATGTATTTACCTCGAGACGTCGTCTTTTCTGGACTGCTGTGCTAGGCCTAGACCGACTTCTGCTCGGAGTTGCGCCGACTGGATAGTGTTGGTCATTCCGGGCATTGGCAGGACTGGTACCGCTGTCTTCGGTCTGGATGGGAGTGGTAGGCCTGGATTTCGGCGAATAATCAAAAATTGTGGGAATTGACCCTGGTTTTAACGATTTTCGACCCGGTGTGAAACCAAGTGATTCCAAAAGACGTCGATCGTGGGTGAAGCAGTCGTCCGCAAAATGGCTCTCACACAATCTGGTGTGGTCGCTTGGAGAAAAATTGTCTCTCTTGAGCTTAATTTTCCACGCATTCCGAAGCTTTTTATCTCGGGGAAAAGCGAATAAACTTACTTTCTGTCCACGATTGCTACTGTTGTTACAATTGAGGGCTGCACATTGTACCATGTTAACATCTGGCGTTTGTTTACAATTTTCCTGCTTGACAGATAGCGCGGATTTTTTTTGCAACGAGAGCGTTTGTCACATATGACGTCACGGATAAGGGCGATAACTCAGTCAAGGCCTTTGTGTTTCGCAAGATCGACCGAAGAACAGCATTTTTTAAAAACTCAATTTACTTACCAAACTCGCTAAATTTGTTTAAAATAGCACGTTTTGGTTTTTTATGATACTTTTATAACACTCTGGCAGCATCGGCAGTTATTTGATTGATTTTGGCTTTCTGTCACCTTTAAGTCTTGATTAGAGAGAAAAGGCTTTCTAAAGGTTAGATTACATGGTAAACGTTTTCTCAATGCTAGATAAACAGAGAAAAAGGCTTTCTCAATGCTAGATTACAGAGGAAAGGCTTTCTCAATGCGAGATTACAGAAAAAAGGCTTTCTCAATGCTAGATTACAGAGAAAATGCTTTCTCCAGGAAGAAAACAGAGAAAACGTTTTCTCAATGATAGATTACAGAGAAAAAATTTCCTCAGTGCTAGACTACAGAGAAAAGGCTTTCTCAAGGCTAGACTACAGAAAAAAGGTTTTCTCAAGGCTAGATTACAGAGAAAAGGCTTTCTCAAGGCTAGACAACAGGAAACATTTTTTTCTAACGGCTAGATTACAGAGAAAAGGCTTTCTCAAGGCTAGATTACAGAGAAAGGGCTTTCTCAAGGCTAGATTACAGAGAAAAAGGTTTTCTCAATGCTAGATTACAGAGAAAAGGGCTTTCTAAAGCCTAGATTACAGAGAAAAGGCCTTCTTAAGTCTTGATTAGAGAGAAAAGGCTTTCTAAAGGTTAGATTACATGGTAAAGGTTTTCTCAATGCTAGATAAACAGAGAAAAAGGCTTTCTCCTTGCTAGATTACAGAGGAAAGGCTTTCTCAATGCGAGATTACAGAGAAAAGGCTTTCTCAAGGCTAAATTACATACAAAAAGCTTTCTCAAGGATAGATAAAAAAAGCAATTCCTTTCTCAAGGCTAAATTACAAAGAAAAGGCTTTCTCAAGGCTAGATTACAGAGAAAAGGCTTTCTCAAGGCTAGATTACAGAGAAAAAGGTTTTCTCAATGCTAGATTACAGAGAAAAGGGCTTTCTGAAGCCTAGATTACAGAGAAAAAGTTTCCTCAATGCTAGACTACAGAGAAAAGGCTTTCTCAGAGAAAAGGCTCAAGAGCAGATTAGAAAGAAAAACTCAAAAAATACAGAGAAAAAGCTTTCTCAAGCCTAGATTACAAGAAATGACTTTCTCAGAACTAGATTACAGAGAAAAGGCTTTCTCAATCCTAGATTACAGAGAAAGAGCTTTCTAAAGCCTAGATTACAGAGAAAAACGCTTTCTCCAGGTAAAAAACAGAGAAAAGGTTTTCTCAATGCTAGATTACAGAGAAAAGGCTTTCTCAAGGCTAGATTACAGAGAAAAGGCTTTATCAAGGCTAGATTACAGAGAAAAAGGTTTCCTCAATGCTAGACTACAGAGAAAAGGCTTTCTCAAGGCTAGACTACAGAAAAAAAGTTTTCTCAAGGCTAGATTAACAAACCCAATGGATTTCTCAAGGCTAAATTACAGAGAAAAGACTTTCTCAAGGCTAGATTACTGAGAAAAGCTTTCCCAAGGCTAGATTACAGAGAAAAGGTTTCCTCAATGCTAGATTACAGAGAAAAGGCTTTCTCAATGCTAGATTACAGAGAAAAGGCTTTCTCAAGGCTAGATTACAGAGAAAAGGGCTTTCTAAAGCCTAGATTACAGAGAAAAGGCTTTCTCAAGCCTAGATTACCGAAAAAATGTATTTTTCAACGCTAGATTACAGAGAAAAGGCTTTCTCAAGGTTAGATTACTGAAAAAAATCAAACTCAAGCCTAGATTACCGAGAAATGACTTTCTCAGTACTGGATTACGGTGAAAGCTTTTTTCTATCCTAGATTACAGAGAAAGGGCTTTCTAAATCCTAGATTACAGAGAAAAACCTTTCTCAATGCTAGATTACAGAGAAAAGGCTTTCTCAATGCTAGATTACAGAGAAAAGGCTTTCTCAAGCTAGATTACAGAGAAAAGGCTTTCTCAAGGCTAGATTACAGAGAAAAGGTTTTCTCCAGGCTAGATTACAGAGAAAAGGTTTTCTCAATGATAGATTACAGAAAAAAAACTTTCCTCAATGCTAGACTACAGAGAAAAGGCTTTCTCAAGGCTAGACTACAGAAAAAAAGGTTTTTCTCAAGGCTAGATTACAGGGAAAAGGCTTTCACATTGCTAGATTACAGAGAAAAAGGCTTTCTCCAGGTAGAAAACAGAGAAAAGGTTTTCTCAATGATAGATTACAGAAAAAAAGTTTCCTCAATGCTAGACTACAGAGAAAAGGCTTTCTCAACGCTAGACTACAGAAAAAAAGGTTTTTCTCAAGGCTAGATTACAGAGAAAAGTACAGAGAAAAGTTTTCCTCAATGCTAGATTACAGAGAAAAGGCTTTCTCAAGGCTAGATTACAGAGAAAAGGTTTTCTCAAGCCTAGAGTACCGAAAAAAGTCTTTTTCAAAGCTAGATTACAGAAAAGAGGCTTTCTCAAGGTAGAGTACAAAGAAAAGGCTTTCTCAAGCCTAGATTACAGAGAAAAGGCTTTTTCAAACTTAGATTACAGAGATAAGGTTTTCTTCAGGTAGATTTTAGAGAATAGGCTTTCTCCAGATTAGATTACAAGGGAAAGGTTTCATCAATGCTAGATTACAGAGAAAAGGCTTTCTCAATGCTAGATTACAGAGAAAAGGCTTTCTCAATGCTAGATTACAGAGAAAAGGCTTTCTCCAGGCTAGATTACAGAGAAAAGGTTTTCTCCAGGCTAGATTACAGAGAAAAGGTTTTCTCAAGCCTAGATTACCGAATAAAAGTATTTTTCAACGCTAGATTACAGAGAAAAGGCTTTCTCAATGCTAGATTACAGAGAAAAGGCTTTCTCAATGCTAGATTACAGAGAAAAGGCTTTCTCAATGCTAGATTACAGAGAAAAGGCTTTCTCAAGCCTAAATTACAGCGATAAGGTTTTCTGAAGGTAGATTTCAAAGAATAGGCTTTCTCAAGGCTAGATTACAGAGAAAAGGCTTTCTCAGAGAAAAGGCTTTCTAGGCTAGATTACAGAGAAAAGGCTTTACAGAGAAATGGCTTTCTAGCTAGTCACAGAGAAAAGGCTTTCTCATGGCTAGATTACAGAGAAAAGGCTTTCTCAAGGCTAGATTACAGAGAAAAGGCTTTATCAAGGCTAGATTACAGGAAAAAAGTTTTCTCAAGGCTAGATTACAGAGAAAAATGGCTAGCAGAGAAAATGCTCTCTCAAGGCTAAATTACAGAGAAAAGACTTTCTCAAGGCTAGATAACGGAGAAAAGCTTTCCAACGGCTAGATTACAGAGAAAAGGTTTTCTCAAGCATAGATTACCAAGAAAAGTCTTTCTCAACGCTAAATTACAGGGAAAAGGTTTTCTCAAGGCTAGGTTACAGAGAAAAGACTTTCTCAATCCTAGATTACCGAAAAAAGTCTTTCTCATTGCTAGATTACAGAGAAAAAGCTTTCTCAGCTAGATTACAGAGAAAAGGCTTTCTCATTGCTAGATTACAGAAAAAAGGTAGAAAACAATGTTTTCTAGATTACAGAGAAAAGGTTTTCTCAAGCATAGATTACCAAGAAAAGTCTTTCTCAACGCTAAATTACAGGGAAAAGGTTTTCTCAAGGCTAGGTTACAGAGAAAAGACTTTCTCAATGCTAGATTACAGAGAAAAGCCTTTCTCAATGACAGAGTACAGAGAAAAGGTTTTCTCAGTGCCAGATTACAACGAAAAGGCTTTCTAAAGACTAGATTACAGAGAATTCGCTTTCTCAAGGCTAGACTACAGAAAAAAGGTTTTCTCAAGGCTAGATTACAGAGAAAAGGTTTCCTCAATGCTAGACTACAGAGAAAAGGCTTTCTCAAGGATAGACTACAGAACAAATGTTTTCTCAATGCTAGATTACAGAGAAAAGTTTTCCTCAAAGCTAGAATACGGCGAAAAGGTTTTCTCAAGACTAGATTACAGAAAAACGCCTTTCTAAAGTCTAGATTATAGAGAAAAGGCTTTCTCAATGCTATATTACAGAGAAAAGACTATCTCATTGCTAGATTACAGAGAAAAAGACTTTCTCCAGGTAGAAAACAGGGAAAAGATTTTCTCAATGCTAGATTACAGAGAAAAGGCTTTCTCAAGTCTTGATTATATAGTAAAGGCTTTCTCATACCTAGATTACAGAGAAATGGCATTCTCGGGTTAGATCGCAGAGAAAAGGCTTTCTCATGGCTAGATTACAGAGAAAATGCTTTTTCAAGGCTAAATTACAGAAAAAGGCTTCTCAAAACTAGATTACAGAAAAAAAGCTTTCTCAAGGCTAAATTAAAAAGCAATGGCTTTCTCAAGGCAAAATTACAAAAAAAAGGCTATCTCAAAGCTAGATAACAGAAAAAAGGCTTTCTGAAGGCTAAACTACAGAGAAAAGCTTTCCCACTGCTAGATTACAGAGAAAAGGTTTTCTCCAGGCTAGATAACAGAGAAAAGACTATCTCATTGCTAGATTACAGAGAAAAAGACTTTCTCCAGGTAGAAAACAGGGAAAAGATTTTCTCAATGCTAGATTACAGAGAAAAGGCTTTCTCAATGCTAGACTACAGCGAAAAGGCTTTCTCAAGGCTAGACTACAGAAAAAAGGTTTTCTCAAGGCTAGATTACTGGAAAAGCTTTCCCACGGCTTGATTACAGAGAAAAGGTTTTCTCAAGCCTAGAGTACCGCAAAAAGTCTTTTTCAACGCTATATTACAGAGAAAAGGTTTCCTCAATGGTAGACTACAGAGAAAAGGCTTTCTCAAGGCTAGATTACAGAGAAAAGGTTTCCTCAATGGTAGACTACAGAGAAAAGGTTTCCTCAAGAGCAGATTACCAAGAAAAGA